AATTGGGGAAACCTAAGTGCTACAACTCCCTCTTCTTTTGTTTTTTGCCTCAGGTTATCTATAAGAACTCTAAACCCTAGCTCGTCTCTCACTAATTTTCTGAAATCGATTATGGAATCGAAAGCATTTTTTAGGGTTGTTATACTACAATGATGATTTGTTAGATCTGTTGTGTTTTTTGGTGGGATTTGAAGGGAGCTTCTGATCTTTCTACTTCTCACTACCACATTTGAGGCCTATGGGGACGGTTCTGAACCGTCACCCTAGGCATGGAAACCGTCACACTAGGTCTATGGGGACGGTTCTACATCCGTCTCGTTTGCAGCCGTGCCCGTAGGGCTAATGAGACGGTTTATGCTCCTAGTGCAACGATTTGTAAACCGTCCCCACTAGTACCATAAGGGAACGGTTGTGCTAAGGGGTCGGTTCTTAGTTTAGAACAAGTGGAACAGTTGTATATCAAGGGGAACGGTTTTTAGGTTCTAAGCAACGGGAACAATTTGATAGCAAGGGGAACGGTTTTTATGTTCTAAGCAATGGGAACAATTTTATAGCAAGGGGAACGGTTTCTATGGGAACGGATTTTATACCAAGGGGGACGGTTTCGAGCTTGACCTAAGAGGTCGGTTATATTGTCTATAGGAACGGTTTTGTTTGTAATCTATGGGGACGATTTTTTATACCAAAGGGGACGGTTTTTATTTTTTACTGATCAAAACAAATCACCCAAATATCACATATCAGTCCATCACATACAAAGAAACAATAGTCCAAGTTTTACACAAAACTAACCAAACTTTAGCCTTAATATAATGAACAATTCATTACAACGAAGAACAATATTATAGCAATAGGATTGAGATAATTCTTCACAAGTTTTACACAAAAACATACCAAATTAAGCACATCACAAATCCTCCATGATTAAAACAAAGAGCTACTACTTAATCAAAAGGTCAAAATGTCTCTATTGAGACGATTAAGTTCTAAATCTTCACAACAAATAAATCCCCCAAAGAGCGACAAGCATGGTTCTTCAGATGTTTTCCTGCATACATCAAGATAAAAAAATGAGTAAGCACAAGTAGAATGAAATGCACTGTAATACACCTAATCATGAAACAAATTAATGATTATCACATGATTCTCTATCTCTTAGCGACACACATGAGCTTGGATCCTCTCTTCTTCTCTTAGAATTAGCACATGATTCTCTATCTCAGTTGCCGTACTATGAAGATGGAAAGAAACAAATTAGCACATGAGTTCTTCACTCCAGTTAATGTTTTCTTCATACATTAACCTTGTTGGTTATTCCTTAATGTATGAACTCAATTTCAGATCAATCACGGTTATTGCAATGGCCACCCCTTGAATTTTCTTTCTCCTAATCAGGGACTTAAAAGCTCGTGATTATCTATCATCGCAAATTTCCGATGGATCATAATCCTCATCAGAAGCAAGATCCCATGCAGCCACTACCTTTTGCTTGGTAGAAAGTCAGTTTTTTTTTTACTGGTCAAGTCCCTGCATTATTGGTCATGCAATTTGAGCTCGAGCAAAAACAATGGATGTACGTATGTCTTAACATTTAGTTTTTTTTCTAAATGTTTCATATTCTCCTTAACCGAATAATGTTGACATTTGATTTAGTTATTTTAGTCATTTGCAAATCAAAAAACCATAACATGCAACACCTAACTTTTTAAGCTTTGGCGCGCAAATGGATTCAAAAAGATGTTTATGAGAATCTACACCTTTTTATGTATTATTTAAATTTGTACCTTTTTATTTAAATCCAAAATGAAGATGGATCAGGAGGAGGCACAATAAAGTACATGGATCCACTGTTAACGTCCATACATGAGATAAAATTAAACACTTGCAGGATATTCTCAACATATCTCAGTATAAAAGTATAGCAAATACATCATAAAGTTACCTTTAGTTGGAGCTCTGAATAAGAAGAATCGACCATTCCAAAGTGGAATTCCTTGTATCATACCTGAAATTTACAAAACCAAACGCATGAAAAACTAAGAGAAATTTACCAATCCAAATCAAGTTGTCATAATACACAAAAAAGAAAAAGAAAGATATAACAAAAGAAAAAACTACCTCATTTCGTGGCTGATGGCTGCTTGCAGATGAGCGAGGATGATCATGATTTCGAGCACTACCACCTTGCTCAGGTGATCTTGTGCGGGCAATAAGTCTTGCAATAGCCGCCGGATCAATTGTTTGCCCAAGTGTTTCAGTCAAGAGCTCGGCGAAACCATGAACCAAATCTGCCTTCTGCTCTTCAAACTTTTTTGTCAACTCTTGCTCAACTTTTTGTGATATAGTTTGAACAACAGATTCTGGAACTTGCTCAGAGGGATCCATGATCTTTTTATTTTTATTTTGGAGCATGGTTTTAGTGACACCCCTCCCCCTAAGACGTACACGTCCAGGATGTTCATCTTTCTTGACTAAATCCCATGCATCATCAGCTTCATCTTGAGATTTGAGTTCTTCTAAAGCACCCTGCATTAGCAAAATTTATATTTAGTTGCTATGCATGTTATATGAAAATTAGGACCTAAAAAGAAATATATGAATATTAATATTTAGGAAATATGGCACATTCTTACTATCAAATTGATTGTTTTCTCTCCTTGTGGATTTATCTTCTTTTTACGGGTCTCAATAAACATTTCAGCTTCACTTGGAGGTCTTCCCAACTCATTTTCCTATAATAAAGACATGATAGTTAAAATATTGATAAATACATTAAAAACGAACAAAAAGAAAGGATACTGAACATTAAAAAAAAATTGAAATACCATTTTTTGGCGAATCCTCGCAAACCTTATTGTCCCCGTAGTGTGCATATATTCTAGACCTTCACGATTTGCTTTGTTGGTCTCACTTGTTTTCTACACATATAGAAGGAACGTGGATTTAAACAACAACCAGACCATTAGTATGAAACGATAAACGAGTGAACAAGAAACGATAAACGAGCCTATAACTCGTAAGGATGGAATTCAATAATATCAGATGCAACAAATATTATCTGATGTGACCTATACTACGTAAAAAATAAATATCAACACAAAGGTGATCAGTGATTGAACAATATTATCTGATGCAGTGATGCCAGTGATTGTTCCCAGATATGCAAACAATCACTCTCGGTGCATGTTTTTAAAACTCCAGTCGCTGATCATGATTGAACAATCTACGTACTCCAGTCGCTGTCATGATTGAAACGCAGAGCGAATCATGATGCAGTTAATAAGCAGAGTAAATATCGCTGATCACCTTTGTGATTGTTCTTTATTCATACGAGGAGTCTGGAGTACGTAGATACATGGGAACAATCACTTAGGCCTATTGATGAATTTCTTATGCAAACTGTAAGTATGCAGATATTGAACAAATATTATCACCTGTATACATTAAAAACTCCTAAGGTGCATGTTTTTTTTTCCAGTTAATTTCTTTGCAAATCTCCTTATTCCTCAGGAGAAGGGTGTTCAGGCCCAGCTAATTGATGGAACGAGTATTAAAGAGACATAAACCATGTCACTTTACGATATTCACTGTACACACTCATCAAGGTGAGGCATCAGAATCAAAACAGGAGAAGAAAATTTGAAATATGTACCGTAAACTCGTATGATGAAATATGAAGTGTTAGTATCAAATTTATCTTTTATTGACTGCAGAATCTGCTTTACCTGTTTTGTTATTCTACCCTGTAAAAGCCCGATCTCTCTGTGCTCCCTGCCTGTGCTCAGGAGCTGCTTGGCTCCAAAAAGTTACGTTTGCTCTGAGATTATGATAAGTTTCACACCATTGTGATCTACACTCTAAAAAGTCATGGACATAAAAATCAGATATGAAACAACTAGTCCTGAAAGTTTTGACGTTAAAGATGAAGCATATGATCGCACTGAGCCGGGGAAAGCTGTCATTGATCGGTGACAATCAAGTTGAGGGATCGGTGACATCAACAGATAAGCTAGTGGCAAAAGTCATCCTATGTGTCAGATCAGATCAGGTGATCTGATCAGTCGCCATTTCTTCGCAGCTCATATGTTGAGCCAGCTACTGACTATTTCGATAGCCCCTCATACCTCTCACAGGATCTTCTCAAACATTTGGGATGTTTATGATCTTTAACGTATATACATTTATGCTGTGATATGTTCTTGTGCCTTCATAGGCAAATCTATACATTTATGCTAGGAGGAGAATTCAATTGATTTTCTACACGGAATATCTTTTGTATATGAGGTGTAACTAATGAGATGCTACTTCTACAAAACGGATCAATAACTTTTTGTCTGAAATTTGTATGTAGAAGGTTGTAGCTGAAGTAGCAATCACATGGGTTTTTTTTTTTTTTTTCTTCAGCTGACGCCTTTCTAACAAATCAAATGATAGTAGAAAGAGTGAATTCTTATTTGAACTGTGTGTTGCTAGTAAATATCAATGAACGGATAACAGTAGGATACTATATATGCTGCAGGTCATAGTTAGTATTAGGGGGGAAATCTAATAAAGTAGAAAAGATAGAAGCTGATGGGCAACTATGAAAGGAGAATTTTGAATGCGAAGCAGGAAATTCTTCTCATGTTACAAACTGGGAGGAGTTTTATATTGCATAAATATTCTACTCCAGATGACTTATCAAAGAAGGAAAGCTCATGTTTCGAAATAATAACTTAAGATTGATGCTAGAACAGAAACTGCATGTCTGTTTTCTCATTACCTTTGATTGTTCGGAGTTCCAGAATTTGAGCAAGGCTTTAAATTCTATTTCAGGTATAGTATTTGGCCGTGTCTTTAGTCTTTGTTTGTCATTTTGAACCCGTCAAAACACTTCTTCTTCAATATGGACTTCCAGCGCGCTCCATGCACAATTGACAGTTTCTAGGGTCCATTTTTTTCCATCCTCCGGAATGTCATATTTTTCCTACATTAACATAATTTGACAATAAACAAAATTGTGATCATAAATACTTGATATAAATAAGAGGGAAAGAACAAATATAAATTTTACCAATAAGAATACTTATGTCTTAATCTCCAATTGCTACGAAATGGTTAAAAATTGATAGAAGTTTATGTTTATAAACCTGCCAAGAAAACCTCTTTCCACTGGTGTCCACTACAAAATCTGTCATTACAAGGAAAGTTTGGTGCATGACATGAATTTTCAAAAGCATGAGATTGTAAGCAAGTGTCCTACCTTGTGGGTAGAACTTAATGATCGGTGAATCCTTACTGGTCATAAGATTCCAATAAGCTTCTGGCAGTGCATTAGAACTGTATGTCAAAACAAATCCATAAATGATCCTTAAAGAAACATTGCATATAGTCATGAAAGTACTTAAAGTGAATTTACCTCTTTTATGGTCAGCTTTAGTCTTGACTCAATTTTAAGAGCTCGCCAAACACACGTTAGGCTTATGCAAGTGCCAATGATTCAAAATATAATATCATGGAAGTCCCACTGTCTAGAAACGAGGCTTTAGGTTACTTCAAACATATCTTATGATTGAATTTGAAACAGGTAGATGCAATAAACTTCAAGCGGTTCTTTTCTTATTAAATAGACCAACAGTTCTTTTCCTATAAAATAGAGCAGCAATAGGGAACCTTGTCAGTATACATCCAGAATAAATATGCGTCCTGAGTCTCCTGACTAATTATAAAATCATGCTTCAGAAATCGGACATATCATTACACTATATCGATTGTCTCTATGTTTGCAAGACATAAACCAGATCATCGTAAATGCTTGCCCATATAGAGCCGAAATTAGCCCAATATTTCACAAATGCTTGCTGATATAGAGCAAACATGTAGAAAATTTTGCATCAGAGTGGTCGATGCTCCTTAAGACAGTGCCCATGACTCATTCATCAATGGCGGGTCTAATGCAACATAATATCTGAAGTAAACAGTTAGAAATATAAGATATAATTTCATTTATACAAAGGAGAGAAACAAGGATTCAGGACATACCTTCGACCTTGAGGCAGGATTTGCGCGATTCTTACGCTTGCTTGGATGAATAGTTGGATCTATTGGAACTCTCGGAAGCTTACTAGCAGCATTTTGCTTCTCTTGTTTAACTTTGTTAAAGATAACAGTGAACCCATCTCCTGATTTAGGACCCTTTTCATCCCAAACACCGAATTTTGGCACTGAAGGTGTTTTGTGCATCTGTTCCAAAAAAGTTCAAATGAAGAACTCGTCTAAAATTTCACGCTAAAAACTAATGAATCAAATCTTAATGACAGGAAAATATCATTGCATTAACCTATTTATGATCCAAATTTCATAGGAAATTGCCTCTTTTCGATCATCGTGCATATCGATCACATCTTTCCATCAGCTATACCATTGACTAACATAAATGAAATAGAAACAGAGGTATGATCATAAGGTATTTATTCCCAGGAGGTAACAAAAATAAAAAATTGTGATCATAAATACTTGACATAAATAAGAGGGAAAGAACAAATATAAATTTTACCAATAAGGATACTTATGTCTTAATCTCCAATTGCTACGAAATGGTTAAAAATTGATAGAAGTTTATGTTTATAAACCTGCCAAGAAAACCTCTTTCCACTGGTGTCTACTACAAAATCTATCATCACAAGGACAGTTTATGGTTCATCCTTCCTTCTCGTGGTCTCCCATCAACATGGCCAGTGTATCCTGCTACTGAACCGGCGATAAGCTTAGGTCTGCTATCTGCGTTGTTTTTCAGAAGACACCAACCAATAATCAATACAGAAATCAGAAAAATGAAATGAAATTTTTTCAAATATTTACAAACTTTAAACTCGAGGTCCGTACTAACAAAAAGTTAAATGCAATGAAGTTAAATGGAGGCAACAAGTTAAATTTGATGTTTTTGAAAACCATTATCGGTCTACTTACACTGGAGGGAAAAGAAAGTTAAAAAGAACAAGATATATAGTGACTGAAACCATATATTTAATTTGCACCAATATTAATTCAAGCTTGGGACTCATGAATAGAAAACACCTAATCTGATGCTATAGAGGTTGTCAACAACTTTTCCATACGACTTTCAAGTGGTCTATCAATTGTTCATTTCACTGTAGATGTATTACGTACATAATCACCTTCATTTTCTCTTGAAAGTTGAAAGCTATTTCCTGATTGCTAGATGTTCCAGTCAATGCATTAACATTGTTTTGAAGAGATTCAGGTGCAAGTCTCATGTTCAACATGAGCTTAGTTCCTGATTGCTATAAGCATGATAAAGCAATGTTACAGTTATTAATTAGTTGAACTACTCCAGGCTTCAAAGCAAAGACATGAACTTATATAGTTATTAATTAGTAAATTAAAATAATGGCATTGTGAACTATTTGCATGATCTGCTGCTGATAGAAGTTAAACGTTGCAAGTGAATACAGGTATAATGCACTACTTTTACCTTTAAAGAGGAAAAGATGTAAAGCACTCAAAGATCATTTAACATATGCACAAATAACTACCACTCTGATGCTATTGGCAATGAATTTAGAAGTGAACCTAATAAAAAAACTACCACTCTGATGCTGATTCCAACTTAGATACTCTAGTTTTAAACCAATCAGTAAAGTCCTTGCTGTGCTTTTGAGCTCCCGTCCATTTATTTGTTCTGCCTCTTTTTCTTGACTGATTCTCAATCAAAAGTTTATGTTCACTGCATAACAATACAAAATACATAGGTCTATAAAGTGAAATATGGACAACAACATTAAATAAGAAGTAATATTTAAGTAATGAATCATACCGTATATAATTATCAACTTCATTGTTATCACAATTGTACAAGGCATATCGATGTGCATTAACCCAGTCAACATTATCTAATGTAAATGCTTTGCCCTTTCTTTTCCTCTTTCCTCCCAATGGATGACCTATCTTAGGAAAAATTGGCGATGTCTCTTCTGCAACATCAACTCTCTCATACATACTTGTGTATCTATTAAATCTTGTCTTGACACCATCATGCATATATAATGAGCAAAAAGTTAGGGACTCTTCAGCTAAATATCCTTCTGCTATGGAGCCTTCAGGAGCACTTCTATTACGCACATATGACTTTAATCTACAAAGATATCTCTCTGTTGGGTACATCCAGAAGTAGTTGACTGGCCCACAATCCAAAATTTGTTGAACTAAATGAACAGGAAGATGAACCATGATGTCAAAGAAACTTGGTGGAAATATTTTCTCAAGTTGACAAAGTATCTCTACGATCTCAGACTGCAAGGATTTAAGTTCAACTGGCTTGAGAACTTTGCTGCATAAACCCTTGAAGAAAGCACCTAATCTGATGAGAGGAATAGCAACACTCCTAGACAAACTTCTTCTTACTGCAATTTGAAGTAAATATTACATAAGAAAATGCGCATCATGAGTCTTACACCCAGATATTTTCTTCTCCCTCATATTTACACATCTTGAGATATTTGATGCACAACCATGAGGCACTTTTGCATCTGCCAACACTTTGCAAAACATTTCTTTTTCCTGTGATGTCATAGAAAAGCAAGCTTTCGCAAATGTAACACGACGACCATCAGCCGACTGCACAGGATGAAGATCTCGTCTTATGCCCATTTTTTGTAAGTCAAAGCGAGCTTTAACATGATCCTTCGTCTTTCCTGGAATGTCTAACAATGTGCCAACAATATTGTCACAAACATTCTTCTCAATATGCATTAAATCTAGCATGTGACGACATCTATTATGCTCCCAATAAGGTAAATCAAAAAATACTGACCTTTTCTTCCACGGACAATTTCTATTTGCTTTTTTCTTTTGCTTTTTTCCAAATTCATTGACAAAATCAGATAATTCATCTATAATTTCAGTCCCAGACAGTGATATCGGTTCTCTTCCAAGCTCAATGTCACCATTAAACGATCTTTTATTAAATCGCCATGGGTGGTCATCTTTTAAAAATCTACGATGACCCATATAACACATCTTCTTGCTATATTTTAAATACTCAGAGCATGTATTATAATTGCAATAAGGACAAGCCAACCTGCCTTTAGTACTCCATCCGGACAACATTGCGTATCCTGGGAAGTCACTAACTGTCCAAAGCAAAGCTACACGCAATTTAAATGATTGTTTGATAGAAGCATCATATGTAAGCAATCCAACTTCCCACAACTCTTTCAATTCATCAATCAGTGGCTGCAAGTATATGTCAATGTTGTTGCCAGGGGATTGAGGACCAGGAATAAGTAGAGATAGCATGAAATATTCTGCCTTCAAGCACATCCATGGCGGTAAATTATAGTTGATTAAGATAACTGGCCATGTACTATGCGCAATACTCATTGTTCGAAAGGGGTTAAATCCATCACTAGCAAGCCCTAATCTCACATTACGAGGGTCTAATGCGAACTCTGGATGCTTTTCATCAAAGTCTTTCCAAGCTTTGCCATCAGCCGGATGCCTTAGAATCCCATCCTCGATGCGCTCCTTAGAATGCCAACTCATAGATTTAGCAGTTTGAGAACACATAAATAGTCTTTGAACTCTAGGTTTTAAAGGAAAGTACCTCAAAACCTTTACTGGAACATTATGCACCTTTTTAGTTGGTTGATTGGAGTCATTTGCTGCATCATCCTTCTTTGGCTTCCACCGAGAAGCACCACAACTACTACACTTATTCAGTTTCCCATTTACATTTCCATAGAATAGCATACAATCGTTAGAGCACGCATGTATTTTTTCATAATCGAGACCCAAGTCCTTGACAATCCTTTTGGCTTCATAAAAAGACTTTGGCAACTTTATGTCTGGAATTGCTTCCCTCCACAAGGTCAGAGAATCATCAAATGCCTCATTGCTTAGTCCATGTATGCACTTATGCAAGTATAATCGAATTATGAAAGAGAGTTTGGAAAAAGTTTTGCATCCTGGGAATAACTCTTGTTGGCCTTCTTCCACTAACTTATAAAATTTCTTAGCATCCTCGGTCAATTCCTCTGTGCCTTCCTTTATGTCTTCTTCATCGTTATCTGAAAACTCTTCTATTGTGCCTCTAAAAATATCATGTAGTAATCCGCCTACATCATCATGAGTACGTGCATCATCATCATCACTCTCGCTATGGACGTTCAATCTTGATGGCAAATCCTCACCATGGAAAACCCATTTGTAATAATTATCTATAAATCCCTTGACAATCAAGTGATTGCAGACAGTATTTCGCTGATGCCAACAACGATTAAAACAACCACGACAAGGACAACATATTTCATTCCCTTTAGCTGCTTTTGCAAATGCTTTATCAAGAAAGTCATTCACTTTTTCAATGTACTCGGCACTTACGCGAGAAGTATTATACATCCAACCTCTATCTCTATCCATAATTTGTATCTGCTAGAGAAAAGTAAATATATTGAGACATCAATAATATATATCCTAGCAACAATCATTACAATGCAATTGCTAGTTGAATGCATCTATAGTTGATTGGTTCAGTTTTAAAATTTTACAATTTGAGTTCTTGAGTGTTTGTTTTTAGGAATCAGGTCCTTTTTGAATTGGGTTAATTAGGGGGCCACCCCTGCAGCGCTATTATTGAACATAGACTCCCTGAGTGAATTTTTTTTTCTCACTCACCGTCAGAGGGTATATTTGTAAAACAAAAACAAAATTTCTCTTTCTCTGAGAATTAAAGAGTTAAAAAAGTTTTCAATCAGGGTCTATGCAGCTAGAATTACAGAGCTTCTAAGGGGATACTATAGGGGATCTACGAAAACTAATCTATTTGCAATTATTGTGGATTAGTTACAACCTTAAATTCTATTGCTGCCTGAAAAAAGTTTCAACTGCAAATACCCCCAAATTTGTAAACAAGTCATCAATTGCAACCGAAGGATATTTTACGACTGTGATTGCAACCGCATTTATAAGTCGTCATGAGGCAAACAACTACTACTGACACAACCAAAAAAACAAAGCCCTAATTTGTAAAATCAAATAAAATTTTCATTAAGAGAAAAAAGAAAAACGAGAGCGGAGAGGAGTGGCGGACGGCGGTTCTGAGAGGAGAGGAGTGGCGGACGGCGGACGCGGTTCCAAGAGGATTCGACGAGAGCGGAGAAAACCCTAGAACTGTTTGGGCGCGGTTCTGAGAGGATTCGGGTGAAGAAAGTTTTTAGACTTATGAGGTGAGGGCGCGGTTCTGAGAAAGAAAATAACTTTTCTTAAAAAAGTTTGGGCGCGAGCCCTTAATAAAACCGTCCTTTTAGCCTACCAAATTTTTTTTTTTAAAGCCTAATTCAAGCCCAACACTTTATTTTGAACTGTTGCCTTAGACTCTATTGTGACGATTGTAACCGTCACACAACTGTTCCCTTAGGAGGCAAAGGAGACGGTTTTAAACCGTCCCCAAATAACCGTCCCCATAAATCTATTTTGTGGTAGTGTCTTTTGCGCTCAGTCTCTAGGATACACCTCATGTTCTGCAGATCTTTCTTATTTTGCTCAAACAGATCGCGCGCGCGTTTATTATTTGGGTAATTTTTGTCTTTCATTGATGCTCTACGTACTGAAAAGAGGCTACATGTTTTATTATCTGGCTAATTTTCACATTGAGAGGTATCAACCTACATGAAAAACTACATGGATTTATTATGCAATGGATAGTTATCACATAGTGTTGTTTTCACTTTGAGTGTTAGCAACCTACATGGATTTTTTTTTTTTTTTTTTGTAATGGGTTTTTTTTTCTTTGTGTTTAAAGGCTATGATGCGTTGTCACAAAATTATCAGGTAGCAAACTACATTGATGTTATATGTATTGGATGGCTACCTTTCTGATGAGTTTGACACAATTTCGAGCCTATGCATTCAAAAAATTTATGAACAAATTTTATGGTGAAATCATTTTTTTTTTTGGGATTTCTACGTTGTATGGTGAGCTCTAGTCTATTCCTCTCCACAGGTTATAAAAAAATAAAAGCAAATGGTTGATGAATTGAATTTGTAATTTGTAACTGGGCCCTATTTATACATATTTATAGCTTGCTCGTTTATATAGTCGTTGTCCACATTTTTGTGCGTTGAAGTTTAGATGGGTGCATGACATTATATGCGGTAATCTCACCTTGGGTTATATATGTATGTTTCCTATGATGATTCATGAAAAATCTGAGCAAACCCCAATCATCAAATTTGGTTTCCTTTTTTTTCTTTTCTTTTTTTTTTCTTTACCAACCAAATAGAGCAATAAATGCAAGCCAACTTCTATGCTACTTTTCTTGGTGAAACAAATAAAAAATCATACTTTCCAAGAAACATGCAGAAAAATACGGAATTGCAATTCTGAGCTTAGAAATAATTTCCAACTATTTCAAGAAATAACCAAACGAGCCCTTAGACATCATACATTGACTTTCTTAAATGAGTGTTTAAATTGGATATAACAGTTATAAGAATCTCTTTTTTTAAGAGACCTAAGATGTGTAACATTGGATTGATGCATCAAACATGATCAACAAAAATTGTGTTGATTTCTACCATCCAAGACATGTTCTCATTTTGTTAATTTGGTATTGAAGAGAACTTGTTGTATTATGATAAGATTTACAGGGTATATATACACAAATAGTAGCTCACACTATACACAAACGGTAGCC